AACATTGTGTTGATTTTGATTATTAGAAATGAAGTAATTATAGGATGCGCTTGAAATTAATTTAATATGCATATATGTATATATCTGTAAAAATACCTAAGAAAAGATCAAGTGATTCTGATTATTGCTCTTTGTATAAAACATTAAAACACTGAAATATACGGTAGTCCTTGTAAATTAGAGGTCATATAGAAAATCAAACTGTTATTCATCAGATAACCTATGTTTGAGAAATATGCTGTTCACTTTTAGAAAAGAACTAATAATTAACCTTTTTGTTTGTTTCTACCATTGCAAAATGCGTTATTCTCTCCGTTAAGATGGAATTTTACAAAAAAAAAGCCAAATTATCATGTTAAGTTGTATGAACAGTGTTGACAAAGCATTTTCTATTTAAATTTAAGGCATAATTGATTATTATTTTATTATATTTCATTTAGAAACAACCTCGGAATCTGGTGTGAGTGACCTGGATACAACTATGACGGATTTCCGTTGTAATTGTTGTCCATATGGTTACCATTTAGACACCGATTTTATGAAATTCTTAGATGATATGTATGGACCAGATGTACTTCGAACATTAAAAAAAATTGAAAGAAAACGTCATGATGTACGTCGACGTTTAATTAACGGACAACAAGTAAGTGCCAACAGGTTAAAATATATTATTAACAATAGATGTTTTCTTTAATTGATATCTTCTATTAAAGGTCAAATTAAACGTTTCTATCTTATTTAAATATTTCTCTGTGGTGCATGTTAGCTAATAAATGATCTATTAGAAAATAAAAACGCCAGATTAGTTTGTTAATATTAGAGATTTACCAGAACAAAGTCAATAATCAATGTCATGAGATATAATCGCAGCCTGAAGGCGGAACATTCTCACATGTTGCACCTTTTAAAGTGATGTCTATGGAAAAAATCATAAAGACGTGTTTTGATAATATCATTGTGTATATATCTTTTTCAAAACGTTTATCTTCCTTGCAGATAATGTATGATGTGGCTATGATATATGTCAATGTTTCACACCTGATCTGAAATGACAGCTTTTGCTAAAACTGTATAGTTTGCATGGTTCGTTTTTACTTTGATGACTACTTTATCTTGTCCATAATCTAAGTATCTAAGCAAACTCAAATTGACGGTCGTCTCTACTTTCTGTCGCTGCTATTTTACATTCTTAACACATATTTTCTTCTCATTTGGCATAGTTATTGTGTTTTTCTTGTGTATGTTGTTTATTTATAATTGCATGTCACTATATGCAAGGTTCTTTGGCAAGGATACATAACAATCAATCTAACATATGTTATTGTCTTAAAAGGTAGAAAGAAAAACAAGATCCTATTTTTCTTTTTGTCATCAACATAGACATCTAGCGACATAAAACAGGTGTGGTGGTACTTGTAATAGGTCAGCCGTATATTAATCTTTAAAGAATGATCCGTTTGAATCTTATAGTTAAATCATTCACTTGAGGTTGTGCTTCGTTGCTCTGAGCTAGGAGCGTTGATCAAGAAATCCGATGTCATTCGGGTTTGATTTTGATTGAGGCATATATTTTCTCTTATTGTGTTAATGCATACTAGAGTCACTCTCTACTGTGAAAAATTTCTACATTAATTGTCGTAAACGATGTACTTCTAAGGTATCAGACTATGAATGATAAAAATGAAGTACATTTTTACAAACAACACACAGTACAACATTATATTCATCATGCTTCAAGCTTCCATTATTGCCTATGGTACATTGTTTTTGTCAAAATAGATCAATACAAATAGTCGATTTCAGAAATAATAGTCAATCTTTGTTGTTTTTAAACTTAACATGAGCATTTTACATCTGAACCGAGAACGTTTTGTTAAATTTAATTACCTTCTTTTTCACCTATACTCTTTTCAAATTAAAGTTTAATAAACATCTGGATCTGGAAGAAAAATGATAATATAGAATTAATTTTGTATTCAGCAAGGAGTACTTTAACACGTGTAAAATGTTCCGTTATGATAGTAAAACAGCTTAGAGGCCGTATTAATATTGTTGATATATCAGAATAAGCCTTTTATTGATTAATATTCTTATCGATTGCCATAATGCGTGAGCAATGTTTTTTTTCTCTTTCTCTTTTTAATCCTTTATCATAATCGTCTGTCATTATTAATTAAACACGTTCTATAAATAAGTTAGAATGAGATTATACATGAGTGGTGAGAGGATGAAACATCATTTTTTGATGGAAACACAGTCCAGAATTATTCAACACTTTGGAAGTAGTATCAAGAAGTTGAAATGTAGTTCTCATCGAAATTCAAAGTCATACATTTTACTCATTACACATACTAGTGAAAAAGAACACTTCATAGACAGTGTAGAAAAAGGAATGAATGAAAGATGAGAAACAACATGAACGAAGCTAGATAAACAGTTTTTTTTGAGTTTTCTTGAGTTTGAAAAAATACCGGTGGAAATCTCCAGTTTAATTCATAGAGGTAAACATATCTTCCTTAGGAATTGGGATGTCTTTTCCATGCAAAAATATCTAATAGTATGATGGAATACTACGAATAAGAAATACATAAACTTTTAACCTGAGCATAATTTTCTAATTTTTGTTCATTGTCTTTATAGTATTGTGTTCGAACAAAAGTTTTTTTCATCATAAGAATGACTTGTTGTTTTTCATCGTCAAAAACAAACAAAAAATTCTTTTAACAAATACAAATGACCTTCCTTGAATCTACATTGTTTAGTACGACCCTAATCAAAGATCATTATGTCATTTTTTATTTCTTTAAAAATTCAATCAAGAAAACTTTTTTGTTACAATTAATTATTACTATGAATGTCATTTTCTAATTTATAGTAGGTTTTTTAGTATGATGACGTGTATATGTGTGTGTATATGCACGACTATGCCTATTGTTAAGTACGTAATCGTAATTTATGCATGCACCACTACAAATATATCAAGGCTATTATTAAAAAATATGTATAAATCAAATTTTCTTTACCAGTGAGTGTGTGCATATGCATAAATACATATGTTGTCTATAGAAGACTAACTAGTACACATTTTCGAGTAGTTTCTTCTTCTACTCTGATTATTATATTATGGAAAGTTCACATAATTTAATTTTTAAATTAATTAATTAATTATTGTGTACTTTATAATATGCTTCTATATAAAGATTATTTACCAGATAATCTTTTACAGTCTTTTTCTTGCACTATTATTTTACCTAATACTGTAAGTATTATTTTCATGTCAGATAGTTATTATAAAGGAATCCATTGAGCAACTATATGATGACCATTAGTGCCCTGTACAAATTCTTTTTTATCTTCTGAAGATAAGAAAACATTTTTAATGATACTTTTTTGCTTTGAATGGAGAAATGTTGTTGATGACTAACTTGAGATGTTTCATTTCTTCCCTCACACTAGTTGGAAGATCGATATTGTTATATTTTATTTTGGAAAAATCTTTCCCATACTAAATACAGTGTATCGTTTAAAAGACTCCAGTAAGAAAGACATATTTAAACATTGAATTGATTCTTCTATTTCGTAATTTTAGCCCATTCAGAATCTACATACTCGACCACCAATTCCACCTAACCATTATCAACAACAACATCGTTCCACATCGTACGAACGGGTATTTGATCAAGAACTGTTACGTGAAACATTACTCGAGTTAGATCGAATTGTTGAAAAAGATATTAAAGAATTAGAAGCACAATGTCGACATAAACAACATTCATCAGGTCGATGCACACCGAACAGCCTGTATGGTACAGAAGGACGACAACAACAATCTTCCTCATCACATAATCGTTCACGATCAGTTGATTCAAGATATCCACGTCGACAGCATGTCACACGACTTACTAATCCACCGCAACATACGTTATCGACGCATAATGTTTATGATCGAGCACGAACAGAAGAAGAACATCGATTGTACGAACATAGAATGCAAATGGAAAAAACTATTACTACGCGAACATTATCGACGCCTGGTTTATCGACGTATCACGATGATCATATAAAAAAATTTGATGTCATTAATACATCAGCGGGTCCAATTACTATGTTATATAAAATACCACCACCACCGTTTTCTCGTTCGTCTAGTTCGAGTTCTCTGTCGACAGAAACGACGTTACGAGTCTCGAGTCCCGAACCTGAGGAGCATCGAGAACCGTTGAAACCATTGTACATAACTGAAGTAATCGTGCCACCAAAACCGATTCGTTTAGAACCTGTTCAACAAACCACCATCATCACCATTCCGGATAAATCAGAAATTGAAAGACGAAATCGTGAAATTGATCGTTTAGAACACGAACGTTATACATTGTTGAAAGAAAAAAATCTATTATTAAAAGAAATTGAACGTTATAAATATAAACCACCGGCGAAAACAGTTTCTACTACTAGTCACGATAATAAAAAGTATACATTATCAATAGATGTTAAATCTCCTGACATGATGAGTACACGTGATGCATCTATTAATGTTGAAGGTGGAGATTTATCAGAATCAGAAGAACATTTACATCGTGTAGAAACACGTTTAGAAGAAATTATTCAACAACAAAAATTACATCAAAAACCGGCAACGAGAGAGGTGGCCATGATGCATGTCGTCGAAGAACCAAAAGAAGTTTATCTCATAGATCATCCACCACCATTACCACCAAAACAATATCAGCAACAACGAGATGTGGCAATCAGTCACATTACAGAAGAATACGATTTTGGCGACGATAATGAAGATGAACAAACAGATATTATTAAACGAAAATTGGAAGATATTAAAAATTACTATACCGAAAGAATTCATATACTTGAAGATAAAATCTATGAACAAGAACAAGAAATCGAACATTTAACTGAACCAAAATCACAGAGACATGTTAGCATGCAATGTCAACCATTGATGACAGATAGAGCACTTGTTACAGACACATTTCGTTCAGGTAAGAAAAAAAGCATTTAAACATAAGAAGAATAGCCTTCGTTTTAACTAACTACCTTGTCTACATTAGTGTATGTGTATGTTTTAAAACAAGGCTATACACCTTTTTGTTACGTTTACAACGTCTTTCTATATCAGCCGTTGTTATTTCCTATCACTCTTAGAAAGACGCTACAGTTTATTTTTAGGAAATTTGAAATATACTGAAATCGGTCCAAAATATTCAGTAACCTTAACTGTTTTATATTGTCTGTGAAATTACCCATAAAATATCTGAAATATCACACAATGCTATTTGATATAGATACGTATCTTGATCAGATCAAATCGGTAGCGAAACAAGAAACATCTACTCTGTCTAAATTGCTGGATTTTATGCAGTATTTTACCGCGAAAAATATTAGATATCCAGTTAAGTTTGACAAATTAGCATAATTAACGTCGAAGAGTTTGAAATTAAAAGTTTGAGGGTCGAAATATACTTTTGTAGCAGTATCTTTCTCCGTCGATTTCCTAAAGCGATATGTGACCTTAATCTCCTTTATTTTAGTTCGTGACGTTGCGTTAACATGTCATTTGCTAGACGATGTTAAGGATGAAATTGTGCATAAACGAGACGTAAATCTTCAGTGTAATCTGAATGATTTTATCCATCAACGTGATGTTTGGATTGAAGTCAAGGAACAAGAAGAGAAAAAACCCACTGTTCGAGATGTATCTATTGGTGTGCAACTGAATCTTCAACCAGATATCCACTATCGAGATGTAGCCACACATGTCAATTTCGATTATAAACCGGAAATAATACAACGAGATGTCGCAGTTATGATACAACCAGAAAAAAAGTTGATGAATGATAAATCATCGAATACTCAACAAATTCAAACAAAAGAATTTGGTTCTTTTGCCAATACCATCGAACCTCCAAAACCACCACCAAAACCTTCGATGAGGCCAGCTGCTACAGATACTCGTACATTGATCTCGTACAAAGATATCGCTACGGGACCATCTGATACGAAACGATGGTATGATCGTTCGACCGATACTCTAACACTCTTACAACAACGAGAACAAGCCACTGGGAACGATATACCGGCTGTATTGTTAAATAGAACTGTTGCCACAGATACACGAACGTTGGTGTCAACACGCGATAATTTTTCAACAACAACACTGTCAAAAGATATTTTTAAGGATATTGGATGCGATACAAAATCACTGACTCAATATCATGATACATCTGTGAATACAAACAGACTAGAACAACAGAATGCAAGTGTACAAGTATGTATCTATTATAAGTAGAATCACAGGTGAAAGTAATCTCTCGATTATGGAAATATGATGACGATGATAATAATCAAACAGATATTAGGCATGAAGAAAAAAAGAAAATTTTTTTCCCTTAGTTTTAGCTTCACAGAGTCAGACGATGCCCTGATTTATTCGCTTATGAGAAAACTTAATATTGACATTATAATATATATATATATATATATATAAGAGGAAGTTTTATTTTCCAATATAAACTTTTTGTCTACGTGCAACAGAAGAAGGTACGCTCGTTTCTTTTTTTTCTGTTACTATGAGATTACATAATACTTTCTCAAGGTAGAGTTTTGTGCAAATATTAGAACCATCTGTTCATTAATACATCTTCCTTTGATTAAAATTTCTCAATGAAATCTACAAACGCTTACTGATCTATTTTTTACAAATTCGCATAAACTGTAGGTTCTTGATCAAAGAAACTGTTCTCTCCTCTTTACTCACCAGATGTTTCTTTCTCAACGATAAACTTCCAATTTATTTATTTTTAGTGTATTCCAGATGTTTACCCGGTGAAACAAGCTCAAACAAATACTGAATTAGATATATTTTATCAATTAGGTCACTATCGCCATGCTCTTTCCAACACTGACCTAAAACGTTCGACTGATCGTAGTACACTAACGGACCTTCGCCCATCAAGAGATTTGGGTATTAACACTGAACCAAAAATCATGTATTCAAAAGATGTAGGTGATTTTGATGTAAGAGTCAAAGAAAACGAGCAAGAAAGTCGTTATACCGAAGAGATTACATGGAACAAATTAGTAGGTGCGGAACCCCTTCGACGTTCATTACACGATTTATCGTCACGAACATTTGGTACACAATCGGATACGCAGCGAACATCTGACAGGTCATTAATGACCGATTTGTATGATACAAAACGTGACGTCGGCTACACTGAATATGTAAGACGAACAAGTCCAGCATCGTCTGAAGACACTGTGCAAGAACAGCGACAAGAAATCATCACATTTAGAATACCAGGAAAGGATCATTTGTATTTTGTTGAAGAGCCACCGGTACCCAGAGAAGATTTAACAGAAGAAACATATGAACAGATTTCGACAACAACAACGGAAACGAGAAGAAGACAAATCGAAGAAATGATGACTAAACAAAAACAACTACAAAGACAAGATGAAGAAACTCGACGACTAAAAACACAAACTCAGGGTGATACAAGAAAATATGAACCAGGAATGACAATCGTTTCATCTGAATATAGTGAATGGAGTAGACCATTCGGTATTTCAACAACTTCAACCACCACATCTTCCTCCAAGCAACAGCAAACATCCGAGAGAAGATCAAATTCACCAGAAGATTTAGTTGAAGAATCCTATGAAGTTGTACAAACCATAACGAAACCACCAACGGATTTCAAAACAACATCTGCTTTTTCTCCTTTTGGAATTCAAAGTGGTTCACATTATACAACAGTAGATACGGATACAGTTAACAGAAGTCGAACGGTCAATAGTGCGCTGATAAAAACGCGTGGACAAGACATAAAACCAGTATCAAGTGAAGATGATAGTTCATTTTATGAAGAATGGACTGTAACAGAAGCAAAACGAAAACAAGATGGACAAACCGTTAAAACAATCATCGACAGGTGAAGACATGTGAGAATAACATGTGAATCGTTTTTAATGAAGGGTAAATTTTCTGTTTAGGGGTGGACATCATCGTTATACCGTTGACGCCGAAGAACAATCTCAACAAGGAATATTGAGAGCGAGCAGTTCTAGTGACGAAAAATCTCGAAAACGTTTGGGGTATGAATGTTCTGTATTTTGTCTTTTGTTTTAATGAATTTCTTGTATATTTATTTTTAGAGAGAGTTCAGTCACATTTATTGAAACAGGAGATGAACAGTATACCGGTGAGTCGTCGAGCCATCGTGGTGGTTTCCAAGTGAAGGGACAAGTTGAGGAATCTCAAACAAGTCCCACAATGACCTACACAGTTAAAGACTATGAATCACGAAAAACCTTTGGTGGCGGTAGTTCGACTCTGACATCTTCAAACACGTCAGGATTTCGTACACTTGACGCGTCGGCGTCGACTACGCCCTATTCGCCCGAGAAAGAAGATGAAATTGAAGAGAAATATGAAGTGATCATTTCATCGTATGACGAAAGTGGAATTAAAGAAATATCACCAAAAAGAGAAGACTATGGAACACCAGAAGAAGACGATGACAATCATCAAAGTTCGAATAGAGAACATGAACAGCAACACCAACGACAACAATCGACTATCATGAGTTCGAGTGGAGGTACTGAACAAATGATATCATCATCATCAGCATCTTCGAGAACAGAAGCTGCTAATGTCCAAATGGAATCTGAAGGTCACGAAGAGTAAGTAATTAGCTCATCTGGCAAAAGCTTTTTCATAAAAATTATTTCTGTCATCTCAACTGAAATAGTATATGTTCCGAAAAGGTAATCTTTTACTGACAAACAACAGCAACGTTTTTCAAAAAGCTTACTTAGTTCAAAAAGTTTAGTGAGGTATAAGAATCAAATATCTTGCATTAATTTATGAATATGATTGATATCTTGAAGAACAATCGCGTTTTACACACACTTTTAACTCTACTCTCACATAAATTTTTTGGCAAACTACAACAGTTTTTTCAAAAATTCAGATTTTCGGAAAGTCTTTGGGAGATTTTCACAGATTCTATCTTTTAAACGCGATAAAAAACAAGAAAAAGATAAAATATACAAATCTATTGTTTATATTCGACGAGAATGAGTGTTTAGTTTGATTTCAAGCTATTCCGACATTTCTAACTCGTGTTCTAAAAGGATTTATATAGATTTTATATAGACAGAGCGACGAAAATTATTTTACACGCATCATTTGATACCATATACGTTTGCTGAAGTTTTCGTTAAAACCGAGTGTAGTAAAAGAAAAGAGTTTTTCTCACCGTTAAAGGTCCTCCTCAAAGGAATTGCACTTCGCTTTCAAAACAATTATCAGACATATATCAACTGAAACGTTGACCTAGAGATGTGTACGGTTACCATTTTTGTACCCGTACCCGATCCGAAATTTTTTTTTTACTCGTGTTCGACTCGACCCGACAACTTTGTATCCGTACCCGACTTCTGTCTAAAAATTTTCTCCTTTTTTTTTCCACCTAAAAAGTTTTGTTTTTCGGATGGATATGTCAAATTATCATTACGTTCTCAAGTAATTCTTTTTTAAATCTTCATGTATTTTAGCTAAACTCCTTTATTTTTTTCATTAAAATTTTGTAGATTTTCCACTAGAATCTTCCGATTCTCGCGTAAATTAAAAAAAAATAGAATCCGTACCCGAAAACTTCTTACCCGTACCCAATCTTCGGATCGGGTTGCACATCTCTACTTTGTACACTCATAATTTTCTCGAAATGGACAACAGACGGTATATGAGCGTAGATGTTCAAAAATCGTGGTATTTATTGAAACTGTTTTCTTCGTAAAAAGGAAATTGTCACGGAAGATTTAGAAAAAAAAATAAAAATAAAAATACGATGTAGATGATATAAGATTAAATTACTATTCATGATATGGCATATACTCACGTAGGTGAATAACAAATATACTTTAAAAATAAAAGAATATAAGTATTTTATGGGCTAGACAGAACGATACTAACGGGGCTCTGCTCTCTTCTGACTTGTCTTAGTCATAATTATTTGTTTCATCAATAAATAAATAAAGTTTAAAAAAAAAGTATAACAGATATACGATGAATACTATCAATGATATATTTTCTTTGTAAGTAATTCTATACGATTAGGCTCTGACATACCTATAGAGGTGTAATATCCGTTTCAAAATAAAATGGTACTAGTTGCTTTTTCGATAATTCACAAAAGGAGCTAAAGGGCAGGTTTTCTTCATTTTGTTGAAAAAAATAGGGCTGCTTCGCAGGAAAAGAAGTTTTTTTAAAATTGACTTTTGAAGTTAGCTGATTTTGAGTAACATAAGCAGTGTTCTGTGGCCGATCTCTAGCTTCAAAATATGTTGAAATAGTCTAAGATATTCTTACAATTCTTTACAGGCTCGAAATCGCTAGCTGCTCTGGAGATACAGCTAATTTGCTGGGATCTAGATGGTCAGAACACTGACAACATGAACAAAAATGCTAACTGTTGTGGTGATGTTTTAATCTCCATGTTAATGAAATCAACTAATGAAACTTTTAAAGAGTCACATTTTTTACCAATTATCGTGCAATAATAAAGTTAACTTCATAACTTGTTTAAATCTTGACTAAATAAAAACAAACTATTCTAGTTTATCCCTAATGAGCTCATACTGTCTCAGTGCAACAAAAATTTAAAAAGAAGAGACTTCTGGAAACCTCAGACGTTGAAATAGAAAATAACCGCAGACTTTGATCTGTTTCTATGTAAAAGTGATTAATGACAGTATATTGAAAGAGTTTCAGTTTTATTGGATAAGATTTCAGTTAGTTTCCAGGTACATCACTCGAAATTTCTATGCTCAAAGCTGTTTTACTAGCAGGAAACTCTAACTTTTTTCTACAAAATGATGGAAACCCGAACTCTCATACAAGAGTTATTGAAAAAGCAGTCGATATCATTCTGTTTTGAAACGGATAGTGTTCACCATATACTATACGTCCAGTAAATAGTCAAATTTACTTTTTTCTATGTTTAGATTTGAATTAGACGAAGAAATGTACATAGCATGCGTTATTGTTAATGAATCGTTATACGACAAAAATGCTGATAAAAAAAAAGTGGTATGGTGTAATTATATGTCAGGAAAGTGCACGATACTATATATATATTTTGATAATTTTTAGCAAAATTGTCTGAAATTAATTCAACAAGATTGGTTTCGAGTATCAAGTCAAAAACAAGCGAACGTACAATTAGTGGAAAATTATTTGAATAGTTTTAAGAAACATTTTTCAAATTTTTTATTAGAACGTATTGTTAATATGCAAGATGCAAATGTGAGTAACATTTTGAGAGAACAAAATCAGTTTACTATTGATATTCAAATTTTTAGGGTAATACAGCATTACACTATTGTGTAACGAACGGTAATTGGGCTGTTGTAAATTTACTACTTGATACAAAAGTATGTGATGTTTGTCTGCAGAATAATGCTGGTTACACAGGTTAGTAGCATTCAGATACGAACAATAAATGCTATTTCTCACATTATTTTTAGCTGTTATGATGGCTGCTGTAATTAGAATTGATAGTGAGGATCAACGAAATACAGTAAGACGATTATTTAAAGAATCTGGAAATGTTAATGTTAAAACAACATTGGTATGTCACCGATATAATACCTCTCTTTTATTATATAAAATTATTAACTGTCTACTTGCAGAGTAATCAAACAGCATTAATGTTAGCTGTTAAACATGATAAGCCGGATGTAGTTGAATTATTATTAGAAAATTCGGCAGCTGTTAATCTACAAGATTCTGATGGTAGTACAGCATTAATGTGTGCCGTTGAACATGAATTATTTGAAATTGTCAAATTATTGTTGACGAGACCGGAATGTGACGTAAACATTGCCGATAATGTACGTTTAGTTCGAAAGTAAAGAACGATATATTCTATCTATTTTTCTTATAATATTAGGATGGTGCAACGGCAATTAGTATAGCAACATCTAAAAATCGTAAAGATATTTTAGTTGCTCTATACGCTCAAATAAAAGAACAAAAAGGACATCATTCGGTATGTATAGTAATTATCACATCGAAAGGGCGCATACTGTATATTATATACTTAGATGCTTGATCATCGGGTCTCACATAAAACTAAGCGTGCTTATATATCTATCTACACTTTATGTTTATCGCACTGATGACAGGTCGCATGTGATGTTGTGTGCGTGTGAGTGTTACCTAATCTGCTTTTTTAGGCATTAGGTAAATCTCGTACAATGAGATTTGAACCACACGATAACAGGTAAAATAATCAGCTCTCCATATTTTAAAATCATAACATTTGCTATCTAATGCTTTTACAGTAGAATCTTTGGTAGTCTCACTTTATCTGTGTATTTGTGATTAAAACTAATTTGTTTAACTTTTCTATAGTATGTCGCGTAACTAACTAAAACAATAGTAGAATATCATTCATAGTACTCTTCAAGAGATGGAATACAATGATCTGCATAAATGTATAATCTGAAAATTTAAAGTGAAAGTATCAGTTTTATCAATAACTAGAAAAGTTTTGTCCGGAGATGCCAAAAATTTTTAAACGTTTTGGTATAAGGTTTCAAGGGTTAAGGCATTTGTGGTTGATATTTTATATAATACCTTGAATATTTCATATTGAAGAAAAATTCCATTTGATCACCAAACTGGCTTCCAGTGCATATATTTTCCATCTGAATACTCAACAGTTCGTTTTTTTGAAGGATTGAATAGTTTATGTGGATAAATATTCAGAAATATTTTTAGAAAATTTTAAGTAAAAATTATGTTCAGAAGGCGACTTCTAGTTTCAGTACGACCTCTGGATAATTGAATGAGCTATGGTAATTATTTTTATTGAGAGTCACGACTATTCTTACTTTTGAAGAGTACTCCTATCTAATTTGCTTTTTCGTCCTATTTCGTATTTCAAAGAAAGAAAACTTTGATTTTTATTTATTGTACAAATAATCAAGAATATTTTTATTCGGATTGATCAGATAGAAAGCTTTTGAGAGTACCGTTACAGTTCTCTTATTCTTCTCTATAGTGTCATAGTATTATAACAAGTACAATATCGTTTTCGATTCTAATGTGTCTCTCATTGTAGTTATTGCATTTCTAATTACGATGGTATATGCCCAATTTTAAATATAAATCATATACACCTCGTAAAAATATGTCAATGTACTATTCAATTTTCTATTATTCTATTTTTAATTGGAATTTGTACTCTATTTGTTCATTTATTGCATGAATAATGATGTTCGGTCATCTACCTGTACAAAGGTTAGAAATCATTAAAAAGCAAAAACCAAATTTTTATATCACATGCTTCTTAAATTTATGCTAATATATGATTAATTTCAAGCATAAAAGAAGTATATGTGTTAGAGACTGACATAAATGTGTCAAGTGTGGCTTACTTGAGTTATTGAATTTATATAGTATTCAACATTGCTCTATATGCTTAAAAGTTATAATGCTCTGAATTTTCTGCAGACTGAACATATTTCAATAAATTTCATCATTATCGCCAAGAAACATAACTTGGAACATTTCTTCTTTCATACATAGAGGCAAATGACAGTTATGCATATATAATTATCTGCAGTATAGCTTTAAGACCCCCTGTCAGAAACATGCACTTTTTCATACAAAAGCCGATATTGAGCTAAGCACATGCATAGATAACCCATGATGTCTACTCTTAGAATCCACACTATTTTTGTCAAGATCAGCAGAGGTTTCTGAGAGTTTCACAAGAAGTTTTCTATAATGTCTAAAAAGTCTAAGCATTTTTCTACAACCATCTTGTGCTTTATAGCACCTAATCTGAGCGAGCATTTCGGGAAACCTTAGCTGCTCCATTTTTGGCTTCTGTTGTAGTGATATCTCGGGAACGAAGATAGATGAAACAAGAAAAACTTTCGTTGTCACACTCAGACACTGTCGCCATTCGCTAAAATTCGCTGCCAGATTGGACTTGTAGTTACCGAAATAGATTTCTGCCAGGGATCCTTAACAATGAATTAGAACGATATTTTTGGTGTTTTTGCTTTTGTATGGTGCCAGAAATTCTAAAATTCAGAAGGTTCAGAAGCCTTTGCATTTTTTATGTATGGTTGGGTAGAGAGAAGAAAATATTTGTTTTAATGTTTGGAAACAACTTGATCATATCGAAAAATTCGAAAAATTCAACGAAAAAATTCTAAAATTTCGAAAAAGCCTCAGTTTCAAATCAAATTTTTTCGTTTTCACTCTCTTAAGTTTTTGGAAGTGGTTTTTTTCACATTAAGATTCAAAAACTGAGTATAAGAAAACCGCCATTGAACGCGCTTCGCTTTATTTTATTTTGTTTGTTCACTGAAAAATTCATTTTTCCCAGACGAGAAGCGCGAAAATCGGAATTCTGCCTGTAATTCTCAATTTTCTCCACCAGAACTCATTTTTTATACAATAAAAATATCATATTCCGAATCAACGTCAAAAACTGAGTTGAATGATATATATTTCAAGATATTTTGTTGATTTTCATTTTTTCATGAAAATCTCAGTAGTTTTTCCCAAAGATAATATTATTTCCCAAAAATGATATTATCCAGCCTTCAAAAATTAAATTTCAAGAACTTTTTTGAAACTGAAGGATTTTTCGAAATGTTAGACTTTTCGAATTTTTTCAATTTTTCGATAGATTTCATCCCATTTTTCTTATTTTTTTTTTCTCATTTTTTGATTCAAACGTTAAAACACATTTTCTTCTCCAGATTGATGTGCTCTATCTAACCATGTATAAAAGATGCAAAAATAAAGACCTTCTGAATTTTCGCACCTTATGTATTTTGCTCCGAGGCTTCTTAATTGAGATCATTTTTTATAATTAAAGGAATAAAAATGATCTCAGTTTGGAAATGGCATATTTTATCAATTTTGAAAAGTGATCTCACTTTGAAGCTTGTAGCTCCTATTTTTATAAAATATAGATTCCTAAACTGTGTATAATAAAAATCGTATAAAATACATGCAAAAGATACGAGAGTTTCTATCATTTTATTGATTAACTTACAAATCAATGTGGACGTTTTGACTTATCGCAAGTCATTTTGAACGCAAAATGAGAATTTGTAATGATTTCGGTGATGAAAAACCAAAACTGGATAAGGAGCTGGATTGTTACAAAATAAAACACATTTAATGCGAATGTATGATACACGAAAAAACTTTTGTTGAACGTAGACATTTCAATACAATGTTTTAGACTTTTACTTCACTCTAAAATGTATTATATACAGTTTTTATTCTATACAGTTTAAAATAGGAGCTACAAGCTTGTTTTCCAAACTGAGATTTTATTTCTTTAAGTATAAAAAGTGATCTCAATTAAGAATGAGCCATTTTGCTCATATATATATATGTTTTCTTTGCTATTTAAGATCATTTGCTTTTCCAGCTGTTAATTCTAACGGTTTATATTATTTTAAATATGAAGCCATTTTCGATACATTATTAATTGCATGTTTATATAATCTTTTATTTTTCATTTTTAACGGTGGTGATACAGCTAAACATATTACTAACACGTGTCTTCTGTTTTGATTTAAAATCTTTTACTGTCTTTATTGATCATTTTAGCAAGAAGCCTCCGGGAAATAATTCAAAGCGAGGTAGTGGTGGTGGAAATAGTGAAAGTTCGACGACGAGTGGACCTACAATATCAACATTTCGTCGTCATTAATTTTTTTTTCGTTGTTTTTCTCTGAAATAAACCAAGCCAAATCTTAATATATTTATGAACAGTCCTAGTCTTTTTCATTTTTGTAAATCATTTTTTTCTATTATTATTATGATGATGAGAGCGCTTATATTGAACGTCGTCGTTATTTTTTGTTTTAATTGATCAAGTGAAAGCTCGCAATATCTCATTTATTTCTCTCTCTCTCTTTTTATATGTGTATAAATGGGCTGCCCTTTTTAGTATTAATGATGATTTAGTTTTTATTTATTTCGAGCGCTGCCATGGCCATCTATATATTCTTTTTTTTTTTGGTTTTTTTATGTTCCATTGTTATCGTCCAGTTGTATGCGTGTATGTGAAAATAACACCCAACATATTTCTGTCTTCTGTCCATGTCGTGTGTCTAATTTTACATTTTTACCTTTGTTGTTATGTTTTCTTTTTTGTACAACAATTGGAAAGTTTAAGTACGTAAGAAAGAAGATTCTAAAAACAACAAAATATTTCTATCAGTACAAGCCATACTCGAACACTAATCGAAATACAAGTCTCCACCCAGAAAGAGACTGATATAAATATATATCGCATAGTTTTTATAAAACTAAGTATATTTAGTATAATGAAAAACATTTTTGTAAAATGATTTTACATAAAAGCGAGTTTTCGATACTTCACAGTATCGTCATCCATAGGCGGCGGAGCCACGAGGCTTGGGTAGGCTCGAGCCTACCCTAGATTGAATCTGATGAGGGTAGGCTTGAGCCCGCGTACAGTTTTTCAAAAGGAGCCTCAAACAGCATGCCAACAGACCACAGAAACGATTTTTTTTGCAACCAGAGACTAAAAACCTTCGTCGCATATGGCGGCAGGCACTCGACAATGACATTATTCTTATGCATAAGACGCAGAAAAATAATTTGAAGTTTCTAGCGGTTTTGAGACTCGGAAAGTTCGTTTCCTAACCGCGGTAATTTTTTAGGGTAATTCACCAGCGTATATGAAGTAAAGAAAGTATAGTAAATCTGAATAACGTCGGCTGTAGTTATCCATTCAAAAACGCCTTCTGCGGCACAGCTGCCGGTTTTGGCAACCACTTTCGTTACTGCACAAGCAGGCAAATATGTCAAACAATATTCCGTTGGTTTCTTTTTATTATTGGTAAACAACAAAACAACATACTACGTCGTAAAGTTTTGTATTTTTATGAAAATCTTCTCTATGAGCATAAATGCTAAGGATGATGTTTTTTTGTCGAAAAGACCTTAAGATGTTATATTGATTTTGATTACTTTCAGCATTTTTTTGTCTAAAAACGCTACATCACTCCCCCACTCCCTCTTCCTTTTTATCCTTCTGACACCATTTGGAAAAAAGTTTTGAGCCTACCCTAGACTAACTTCGTTCCGCCGCCTATGTCTTCATCAGGCTAATATGACTGTCGAACAATGATTTTACAAAAATGTTTTTCAATTATATTAAATATACTTAGTTTTATAAAAAAACGTAAAAAGGTCAAAGAAATGTCAGTATAGTTTTAAGGAGTAAAGCATTTACTTGTACTTTCAGAGTAAGACAAATACTCTCATAAGGCTTACTCTTAGTTTCGAAGTAAAGCTCTTATTCCCATTTCCAGAGTAAGGTGTTTACTCTCAATTTTGGAATAAGATCTTTATTCCCATTTTGAGAGTAAAAGGCTTACTCTCAGTTTTGTAGTTAAGAATTTACTCTCTTTTCAAAAGTAAAATATTTACTTCTATTTTGGGAGTAAGACATAGACTTTCATTTTTAGAGTAAAGCATTTGTTTTTTCTCTTTCTGTGTTTGAGATAAAATTTCGGTCATGTACATAAATAAGATAAGATAAGTAGAATAGACTGTATAATCGCTTCAGTAAATGTATTTTTATATTATAAGGCTTTGTGTTGAAGTAAATAGAATTAGATAAAAGGAAATTCAGTCTTACTTTAGAAGAAAACGGCTTAGAATATTTATTTTTTTTTTAGTTTTACACCAATTTTTAAAAGCATAAAAATTGACTCCGAAATTGACTTCGATGTGAAGATCTGAAGTACTTGATCGAATACGATGAATGAGTAGTCGATCTTAAAATATGATTTTTTTCTATCCTTTTGTCATGTTGAGAAGGGATGAATCTGGTGCAGCGAGACTTTTTAATCATTCTAAAGTTTTATTGCATTAGAAATATCTATTTATCTGCTGAGGAAAGGTTGGATCATGCAATTGTCAAGTATATTATGTATGCTATCAATGACAATATTTGAAGGTCAACATTATGTATAATTTGATCTGTTTATTTCCTGCTGATGTCGTTACCACTGATGTACGTAGGGTATACAGAAAACAAAAGAGAAAAATTATACTTTGTATAAAATGTCGCTTTCTTAGAGGATGCATTTGATTAAATAGTGGTTGAATAGTTTTGTCAACTAATAAAAGAAAATGCTAAATAGAAACAGTTTTATTCTTTATTTTATCTAAATTTTTCGAAAAATTTTGAATTATTAATTTTTATTTAAATTAAATGTTTCTTATAGAGACATGGTACTAGAAGAAATAAAGAACTTTGCGGACGGACACACAAGCGGTTTTTTAACATGTAAAAGATAATTATAGAAAAGAGAAAATGGTTACGTTTTATTTTATTTTACTTCTATATACCTGTGTCAGTAATGACTATGAAAAGTCGGAAATTCCAGCAGTTTTTAAGCATAAGTATGAAGTTTAAAACAGTTGTAGTTCTTATTTCTTATTAAAATAATATCATATCAATATTGATTTTATGATTAAAAAATTACGAAACGAGAAAAATCGTGCATGAACATCTTTATATTATGTTTTTTTGAACAATCTGTCAAACATTGTGGGTTTTTTAATATGACAGATGGTTTTTGTTCTATTTGCTTGCGTCAATATAATGTTTTTATTTACTTGGTTTAAAAACACACTAGTTATCCCTTGTTTGAATAGACATTCATTGCAGACTAACGAGGGAAGGTCTCCAAGTGTTACTCTCACTTTTCAATGAGACATATCCTGATTTGTAGAGCCTAATGAGCTGATTACGATTGCATAAAGTATTTTCCCTCATGGCTCTTGAAGACCTGGTCTTTGCAAAGCTATAGAATTTATAAGCAAAGTCTAAATGTTCATTGTCAGCTCAAAGATACAGAAAGAAAAAGGAAAAAGGAATTTAAGGCTTGTCTTGAAAATTCTACAACTTTGCAAAGAAAGATCGTGTAGAGCTGGGAGATGTCTCATTTTTATCAGAAACGTGCACGCCACAATTATACCACGTTAAGAAAGGTTTGGGTTATATTTTAGAGTTTCTTAAAAACTGTTTTTCCAGAAAACCAGGTCTTCAAGAGCCATGGGGGAAAATGCTTTATGCCATCGTAATCAGCTCGTCGAGCTCTACAAATTAGGATATGTCCCATTGAAAAGTGAGAGTAACACTTGGGGACCTTCCCTTATGAGTGCAACGGCTGAATGTCTCGCAATATGGCAGTTTAATGCCAACGATAACAATCACGTCTAACGAACCATTAACTGGCGGTGTCTTGACTTTTTCTATGTTTGATTTTCTTAAAAATTTACTATTAATTTGTTGAACAAATTTAAGAACATCATTTAAGTTACATTACTGTTTCTCAGAAAAAGAGACACCTGCTGATGAGTTATTTGATATAATTCGTTTCTTTAGCCAACTGAATTACTGCACCATAAGTTGAACGGGATTATCCATCCGCCTATTCATTCTTTATGATGAGGGAGACATAGCATGTGATTTAACTAGTAAATATGTGTTTTCTCTTTCCGAGAAGTATCATTATGATGATGTAGGCTACGTGCTCGTTTGCATGTCCTTTTGATCTAGATAATCTATACTTGATTAATCACGATTCAAGCACCATTCTATACAATCGTTTCACTGTTCCTACATTTATGTTACATGTAAAAGTATTGCCTAAATAGACAAATGTCAGTATCATTTCAACTGCCACATCGTCTACCGCAGTTTGTAGATGTGATTCGTCATTGTTAATAGCAAAGGAGAGGTGTTTAATGATTGATTAAAATCTTTCACTCACCATTGTTCCCTGTTTTCGATTGAGAACAACATGAAATTAATGCGCCATCATTACCGAGTACTCTCATCCATTATCTTCAGTGATTATTTCACATGACTCAAATTTTACTACGAAGATTTTCATTTGTGTTTTTAACAGTTCAACTATCAGAATTAATTGTCTGTACATCTTTCATAAAGTGTCAAATTTTGAAACTTCCTCTATTTGATGCAGCAAAGGTATTTTATCTTTCTCCACCACTACTTCGCCTCCTCATTTCGAATTTTCCCATGCATCCAGGAGATGTAATTACAATTTTTTAGATAAGTTTTGCAAATAGCAGTTGGCATTTTTGCCATATTTTGTAAACAAAAGGACGTGTAGAGTATGGAAAAGTCTCAAAATATTCAGCATACTGTTCTCTTTGATAAAAGACAGTGCATACCTCCGGATGTGTCTTCATTCAAAAATTATAGACGAAGCAAAATGCAAAAAATACGTGACGGATTTACACTGCTGTAGCAGAGTTACAGTAGTTCGAGAAATTATCCGCCCACTTTCATTTTTAAATTTTCTTCTCGACTATAATAGCCAGAACGAATCTGAAATAGATTTAAACTGCCAAAAGTATTTTCAATCTGATATGATGTGCACATAAAAGTTCCATCAAAAGTTCTAAAACCAGGATCTATGGAAAATCAGAATCACAGAAAAACGCTTCCCAAATTCGACCGAATTTTTTAAAAATAACTTCATTATATAGAGCACACATTTCTGAATAAAATGAGATGTCTCCGAGCTCTCTAGAACATTTTTTTATGAAACAGTATCCAGTTTACGACAGGTCCCATACTACCAAAATCAGCAAAATTAACGGGAAAACACGAAATATATGCCCTTGGGTATTTTAGTA